TGTTTGAAAATCGTTGAACCCGCAATAAAGTCATCAATCATTGACATTTGCAGCGTTTGATATCTTGTCTCGCACTCTGGCGATAGAATTTGAAAAATTATGTTCCTGGCGCCGAGCATCAAAACCAAAAAACAAAAAGCAAAAAAAAACAAAACCAAACAAAACAAAACTCAAAATTGTGACGAAGTTTTACAGCACTGTAAGCTAAGGATATGGATAGTAAAGGAGCAAAAAGCTAAGCCATAAAAATAATATGCCAGACGTTAACAGCACGCTGTTAATTAACAGGCAGGCGCGCTGTAAGGGACAGGGGAGGGGGCACAATGAGGGGGGCACAAAGCATAGCGTAGCACATAAAATGTTTGTGCAACAGCTACAACACAAGAGTTCATAAAAGACTCATTAAAAAAGCACTTGAGCTCAATTAAATCGAGTGGCGGAATCAGGAAGCAGCAGCTAATCAACGTTTACAAGGGAACGCTGCCAGCAAGGACATTGTTAAATGCACAACGCTGAACTTTGCCACAACAACAACAACAACAAGGAGCTGCTGCACTTGCTAAGCATGACAGAGCGAGAGAGAGAGAGAGAGAGAGAGTGGGCAACATAAACATAATGAGCTTGGCTGGCAGCATCAACTGCAAACTAACCACAAAGTTGTTGGCCATTTGGGGCAGCTGTCCGTCTGTCCGTCTGTCCGCCTGGCTTGTCCTCTCGTTCTGTCTGTGTGTTGTAGGTGTTAATGAATAAAGTTGTTGTTTGTGGTGTAGCAGCCGCCGCAGGAGTGCAACGAACAACAAAAAAATCACTTGAGCAGTGCAGAGTGAAGAGAGGGAGACAGCAACAGAGTTTGAGCCACGTAAAAACCGCATAAGCGCCATTCATGCAGCTCCAACTCTACACACACACACACACATACACACACTAACACACACAGAGAGCTGTTGGGCAAGGTGTCAACTGGAGGCAGCAGACAAAATGTTGATTGTTCTGCTTTTACTGTTCTTTTTTTTCTGTGTTGCTTTTAGATTGCAGACAGCAGCAGAGTCAACGAGGACGAGCAGCAAAAATGAAGGTTGCATCAGATCCAAGAATGAAATGAGAGCGCCGTTAGTAGTGACGTGTGAAAGTTCGGACAGGCTGACATTGATCTCTCTGAAGGTAAATCAAGCGCTGTTAGTAATTGGGAAAAGACAACGAGTAACAGGCAAATAATCACAGGTCATCGAAATTCCAAGTCAAAGCAGCCGGCTTACAAGTGCTGACAAACTGCTTTACAGCAGCAGCTATGCATGACACGCCACAAAATAGTAATTATTTATGCACAACAAGAAAAAACAGTTGTGAAAACTAATAAACTTGACACACAACAGCAATTTATCATGATTTGAACTATGAACTGCGAAAAAGCGCAAAAATAAACCCATTTTCCACACAGGTTATTTTTCCTATAAAAATATTTTAATTCAATTTATAAAAATGTATATGTACTCATATTTACGGTTAGGCCACGAAAAAAAAAAAATAAATAAAAACAAAAAGAATAAAAATAAATAAAGGGAGAGGAAAGCTAAAATTAAAGCAAGCAAACTGCGTAAAATATGCGAAGCAATATAAACGCCATTTTGTGGATTTCGATGTGGATGGAGATGTGGATGCGACTCTGCTATGCGTACGTGTGTTCTAGCTGTTGTGTGGTTCTTGTTGTTGTTGCCTTTGGCTGTCTAGCTGACTGCCTACCCTAGGCCGTTATCTCTATGTGTGTGTGTGCGTTGTGTGTGTGTGTGCATTTGTTTTGTTTGTTTGTATGCATAGCGCGCTTTTAATAAACGCAGGCTGTGCTAAGGCCAAACAAGGATAATACGACGCCCACTCTTTCTCTCTCGCTCATTCGCTCACAGTTATGTTATTGCTGTGGTTGTTGTTGATTTTGGCTTTCATTTTGGCATACGCTTTTGTCGCCTGTTCTTGTTGTTGTTGTCTGGCTGCAGCTGTTGTTTTTTTGCATTTTCATTATTTAACTTAGGCTTTTGTGTTTGTTTGCTTTATTAAAACGAGTGGCGCAATTTTAAAGCAATTATGTGTGGGTTTGCCACTCTGCTAACGTTCGTTGCGCTCGGCTGGTTGTGTTCTCCGCTAAGCAAAACAATGCAATAAATGCTTTTAATTGCTGGTGTAATTGTTTTTAATGCTCGCAAAAGTCACTCAAAGTTCATGTTTGTAATGAACTAAACACGCTTCCCCATTCCAATCCCCAATCGTTCATTAATGCAGCTTACAAAAACAAAAAACAACAATACCCATCGAGCATTATTAAAATAAAAAGAAAATAACAATAAAAACGGAATGCAAATAAAACAAATGAGTATCCGAAGTGTTGACATAAAACCACAAAAAAAGATAAAGACACACCGTAGTATCCATAATATATTCATCTGACGCGCAAAAAAAAAACCATGCGAAAAATATTAAGCACATTAATTTCGGACGACCGATTGCATTTTTTTAAAGGTATAAAAAGGTGCTATAATAAATATAAAAAAAAGACTTAAAACCGAAAAAATCATATTGAGTTTTTACATTTACATGCTTAAAGATTCAGCAAACAAACTCAATAAATAAATAAATAAAAAGTTCTAAAGTATTTGGACCAACTACAATTCAACTGTGCAAGATTTAAATAAAAATTATAAAAGTCAAATCCCCCCACACAAATTTCAAATGAATATTCAAAATTTAATGAGCTTGAAATTTCTACACACAATTGAAATACAAATCATTTGAGTTATTTTTTCATTCCACTCGGTTTTTTATTCGATTTATTGCGGCATTTTGAACAGACGAATTTCTTTTGCACACTCATTGAAAGGTAATTAAAATGTTTGTTTCGATTTTGAGGCCACAGACGCCATATTAAAAACCCATTGAATGACGCACTGTGCGTATGTAATAATAATAATGATCTTTTTCTCAATTTCTTGACTAATTTCTAAGATGATGCAGCACAAAAATGTTGACTACATGATTGGCTTACAGATTTGTTTTTTTTTTATGGTTGTTTTTTGGGGTTGGGGTTTTTTGAAGTGACCGACGGAAGACACAACTTCATTAGAGAAGCGAATTGAGCAAAAGAGAGGCCTTTAACCCGAGAGGTGACTGCCACTTGACTTGAGACGCACACACACTCCCACTCTCTCTCTCTCTCTCTCTCTCATTCTCTCTCGCTCACTCCTAGCTGCTGCTTGCCCTTTTCATATAAATCAAAATTCAATCAGCAACGTTTTTGGAAACTGTTTGCTGCCAGGCTTGTTGTTTGTTTTTATTACATTGACACACACACAACACACACACTTGAGTCTATGAGTGTGTGTGTGTGAGTGTTGACACGTGTCAAAACTTCCGTTTGTAATCGCACGGAAATACTTCTAGCCACTTCGTGCCCTGCACTCCAAAAGCCATTCAAAACTGGGGTAAAATCACAAAAATCAGTGCAATTCACATTCAGTGAACGGGGCGCGAATTGACTGTGTGTGTGTGAGTGTGTGTGTATGTTGTGGCTAAATATTTTTGGGGTACGCTACTCGCCATGGTACATTAAACTTTTGATTTAGTTTATGCAAAAGCGTTGATCTGTGGCACAAGTTATTTATGGGGCACAGACCGACATTGTTGAGCTGCCGAAATGATATATATATATATTTATATATGTGTGTACCGCTCTCAAGTGAGACGGACAAACAATTGGTACACTTACAAAGATGTAAGCGATAAGCGACGTGCTGCAGACGTGTAGAAAGAGATGCACAGATATAGATAGAGATAGATAGATAGAGAGAGACAGCATTAAAGCATTAAATACACGAACTAAGCATCAGAGCATTTAATCTAGAATTTAAGCATAATATGAACAACAAATGACCAGATTTCCAAGCATATTTATGGCAACAATTTGAGATACTAACGATCACAAATGTATATCAATGGAACTGAATAATGTGTTAAGAAAATAATTAACAAAATGTGTAATTAGTTTAATAATAGCACCAAATATAAACCTAAAATTAAAGTTATTTTTATGTACAATTCAAGAAATCAGAATTGCACTTTTAATGCATTTTTACTCGGCTTTCTTCTATCTACTTGATATATAATATTATAAATACTTCATATTATAAGCTTTGTCTACAGATTTTCTTAACTGCGAAAAATACTACGTTTATCGCTCAAAAATTTTAAGGCCTAACTGATAATAATTATGCTTAAAAAAACACAAGATATTTGTATTTTATTATCATACATTTTGAATTTTATGATTTCCTTTTTCAAAGAAGAAATCGAAAATTGAATTTTCAAAATCAGAATTCCAAATACAAAATAATTTCAAATGCTTCAAATCAAGTCTTTAAGTTCTTACTTGTATACAAGTTTATTTTATAATTTACTATTGGATTATTCAGATACAAGTTTGAATGAAATTTATTGGATTTTTATGATTCACCTGACATATATTTATAATATATGCTACCGAAAATAAGTAGATGCTTTTAATGACTAGAAACTTGTTAAATACTCTTAAAATATTCAGCAAAACTATTTAATAATTTATTGATGAATGCCTCGAATAAAGTCCACTACTAGTCAATAATAGAAGAATGTGAATATATTCAATATTTTAGCAAAGGAAAAATATTTATGGATTAAAGCAACTGCCTAGTTGTGAAGTCAACAGATGGAACAGAAGGATAAAGCGGATATCCTTCGGCTAAACCGATGAAAAGTCGAAGTCAAGCCCACATCGACTTAAACCAGGTGCCAGCAAAGGGAACAAAGATTGTTTGGTGAACCTAAACAACTTGAAGGGATTTGCGCGAAAGGCTTAGCCAGGTTGCACGTACAGGTTGCGATCACAAAGGACTTAGGGCAGGTAGAAGTGGGCGTGGGCATACACCAGACTGTGGGTTGAGGGGTTAAACCCAGCGAGAAAGAGATGTGCTACTTACCCGTGTGGGTGCGTTTGTGTATCTTGAGGTTCTCGCTGCGGGCAAAGACCTTGCCGCAACCGGGATGCGGGCAGGCGAACGGCTTCTCGCCGGTATGGACGCGTATGTGATTCACCAGCTTATATTTGGCCTTAAAGGGACGACCGTTGCGCGAGCAACCAATCCAGAAGCAGGCATGGGTGGTGCACTCCGGCCCGCCCACATGCTCCACGGTCAGATGCGTGACGATCTCGTGCATCGAATGAAACACCTTGTTGCATGTCTTCCGGCCGCCAGCCTGCGTCTGCTGCTGCTGCTGCTGGACGAGACCCGGTTGATCCGGATCAATCCACAGGCATTGCATCTCCTGCTTAACGCTGGATGCCGCCGTTGCCGGCTGGTGTCGCATATACCGCAGAAATGCACCAGCTCCCGCCGGATGCATTGCGGACATCGCATGATGCGGATGATGGGCATGTGCGGCATGTGCCGCAGCCGCATGATGATGTGCCGCATGCACTGCCGACGGAAAATTGCTGTGATGATGATGCTGGGCATACGGATGTGTGGCATAGTCGGCCATACGCATCTGATGCTGATGATGATGATGGCTGTGGAACGCATGCTGGCCAAAGCTGCTGCTCAGCTCCGCCGCCTGTGCGGGGAAACTGGAGAAGAGCATCGAATCAGCGGCGCTGGCAGCTGTCGGCGCTGTTACGGCTGCTGCCGCTGCTGCAGCGGCGCCAGCATAATCCGATGCTTCACCTCGTCGACCCAGGAGGAAATCACGGGAAGCATAACTATTGAAATGTCCATAGCCGGAGTTTTGATAAGCCGCCGCTGCCAATGCAGTGGACTCTGCGCTGCCCTCCAGTTGTTGCTGTTGCTGCTGCTGCTGTTGTTGTTGCTGTTGTTGTTGCTGCTGCTGCTGTTGCTGCTGTTGCTGTTGCTGCTGTTGTTGTTGCTGGTGTTGCTGCTGCTGTTGTTGTTGCTGTTGCTGCTGTTGCATGTCCAGCTGCTGATTGCTGGCCGTTGTATTGGGTGACATGCGCAGCCCATAGCTGGCCAAATGATGCTGAGCGGGCTCAATGAAAGCGTTCATCATCATTTTGCTGCCTCGACAAGTTTACAAGTTTTCAATTCGATTCGTCTTCGTATAAATATAAAACACAAGGGGCTTTCGCACGCTCAACTCAAGCGCCCATCACACACAACACCAAAAAATCACCCAGGCACACACAGACACACACACACACACACTAAGCTAACTGTGTATCTATATATATTTATATGTATTTGTATTGATTTGATTTCTTGTTGTATATGTATTTAGCTTGCTGTATATTTGTTGCACTGAAAAACGAGCGCGCGCGTTTCTTGTTTTTATTTTGATTCTTGTTTGATTTTTGTTAATTTGTTTTTGCTCTCGCTCGTTGTGTTTGAAAACTCGCGCTTTAGCAGAACGCGAACACCGGTTAGCGTCTAAACGTGACAAGATTCGCAGCAGGACTGAATTGTAACGCTGTGCTCAGAGTCTCATCGCGAACTGATTTTTTCTCTGCGCACATTGGGCTGTGCCCAATAAACCAGTCTACGCGTACGCACACACAAACACACACACGAACACACGCATATACGTGAGCAACCACCAATCGAAGGCGTGTCCAAACATACCACATAACAGTATCGAGCAGTGCGGTGGAGTGTGAATAAGTGAGAATGCGAGTGAGAGAGAGACATAGAGAGGGCGCGGAATAACATTGTGGTGGGTTTGTCATGCATTAACATAAGGCAGGTGGGCTCGCTGTTATTCTTGACTCTTTACTGGGCGCATGTGTGGAATGCCCAACATTAATATTTATTTAATCAAATAAAATAAAAATATATATTTATTTCATAATTGTAAAATAAAAATAATTAAATCAAATATTTACATATCTTGCAAATATAATTTTTTTAATGTTATATATATTTTTTATTTTAGGACACAAATATGCATTAGATTTTTCAAACATTTCCGATCTTAATAAAGATCACATTTCTATACAGCTGTCACAAACCAAACGATCCTCACAACAAGCTGATAAACCTACAGAGAGTAAGAGAGGGAGAGAGAGAGAGAGAGAAAGAGCTTGCGCTCTGTTAGTTAACAGTCAGGCTTCGGCTGTGCTCACACTCTCTCGGTGAGAGCTGTCGTTGTGGTGTGTTTGCCGTGGTGAGTTGCCATCGCTGCAGCCGCTGTGAGTGCGAGCGTAAGGCATATACAAAATGGCTGCGCTGCCGGCTCAACTCAACACGTCAGAGCAGCAAAAATAGTTGTGCAACTTGAGCGACACTCCAATTGGAATTGGTGGGTGTATTGCCATTGCACTCGAACACACAGCAACCGGTTTGATAGCATATTAACACCCACTACGCATTTGTGTGTGGGTGAACGGGCGGGTGAGTGGCGCTTGGGGCGTGGCACTGACATGCGCCCAACGCACTGCGCTGCCATTGGCCAGCCAGCCAGCGGCCAATCGAAAGCCCAACTGTATGCAAGTTTCATGTGAATCTTTTGTGCAATCGCTAACTAATTGCAATGCTGCACACATTTATTTGTCATATACTCTTGGCATCCATTTTGGTTTGTTGTTGCTTAGCTTTTCTGGTTATGTTCAGCATCTCTGGCGCCATGTCAATTTTCAGTTTCCAGTTTAGCTAAAACTAAACGCTTGCGCTGTTTATTTTATTGATTTTAATGATTTTAGCCACATTTCTCGGCGAGCATTTGTTTATTTAATTGGAAATGAAAAACGCTTTTCCACGTTGCATAATGAAGACATAAATTTTCATTAGACGCCGTGCCATTCAAATTGTTGTTTCTTAGTTTATGGAATTTTAAATAAGCCTAATCGATGTTCATGAACATCTCGCACATTTTTTGCTGCCAATTGATGGGGCACAGTTCTCAAATGGTTTCTTCATTTCGCCTTCTCGCCAAGTGGTTCAACTAATTGCTTTTCGATAATGATGCCCATTGTTAGCAATTATTTAAGTTTGCTTTTTTTCCCTCCATTTTTAGTTTATTAAAAGTTTCCATTTGTCGGTATTCGACGAGGTATCAAAAATTGTTCAGGTGTTTCGAAATAATTTTTCATATTTTATGAGTTATTAATTGCAGGGGGGAAAGTTTTCAATTCAACACTCATTTAGCATTTCGACTGTTTATTATTTCTGATAATGAGTAATGCTTTCATTTATCAACATCTTTCTTAATGTGCTTGTCTAGATAATGTATGATTCTTACCTTCAGAGCTGTTAACTTTCTATAAATCTATAAAATGTATTCATTTCTTAATTAATAGTGGCTCTAATGCAATAGAATTAATTGTGCCTTGTTAACTATTTTCTTTTCTGATTGCTTGCAACTCGTAAAAATATATATGTGGTGCTGTTTTAGCAACTGCTGCTGCCGCTTCTTATATTGAGGCAATTAAAAGTCGCACAAATTGTGACATTAAATGTCATTGGGCAATGGCCATCAAATTGGCCAAACGAAGCGGCTATTAAAATGTCAAAACACACAGCGCTCGCAGCACAGTCGCTGCCCGTTTTGGATAAATCCATAAAAAAAATTGCACTGGTCGAACAACAACAATAAGAAGAAGAAGAAGAACAACAACAACAACAATAACAACAACTTGGGGGCCCAACCCGTGGCGCATCAAGCGGCTGTTGTCATTTGAAATGAAGCCATTGCTCCACATTTGCCAACCAGGCGGTGCAACATAGAAGAGGCAAGCACTTGAGGCAGGGGCAGAGGCAGTGGCAGTGGCAGGAGCAGGGGCAGCGGCAGGGCATGGTTGGCAGCTTTCGCCACATGACATGAGATGTTGGCTGAGATGGGTAGCAGCAGCAATGGGCCAAGTGGATTTCTAGCACATGGCGAACGAGGCGCATAAATAATGCAGTCGAAGCAGCCACTTGAAAATTGTAGAAAAAAAAACTGCAATAAACTTGCTGCTACTGCAGCTTTAGCTAACAATAACCAGAACGAGTCAACAACAAATTAAAAATGTTACAAAAAAAATAAAGAAGCAAAACAAAAATGTAAATAAACATAGGGAAAATGATGGCTCAGCAGGGCTCCCCCCTCTACAAAAACAGAATAAAGTTCTGTGAGAAGCGCCGAGAAAGGTCAAAGCGCGAGTGCGCCCTCTAGCGCCGAAGTCACGCAACTGAGCCAAGTTTTGCTGGCCACAAAACGCAAACATTGGGCGTGTCTGGCCCAATGGACACGAGTCAAGTCAAGCTGGTTACCGGGGGCAATCCAAGCGACCCGGGGACACCTTTGGCACATGCCGCGATCACCAGCGGTGCACGGGTTTGCGCCTGGGGTTTCAACTCAAGTGTCGCTCTCTCTCTCTCTCTCTCTCTCACACACACATCGTACTCGAAGCTGATGGAGTGTGTAGTGTAAGCGGTGCGAGAGTATTGGGAGTATTTCTAGACACAGATTGGCAACTTCGATGTCTGACTGACTGCAGTTCCTCATTAATGTTTGAGGAAAGTCAGACAGCAGCTGAGGAATTTCATAGAGTTTACACTAAATACCGCCAAGAATCTCTGTTATCAAAATAGTACATCTTCAGATTATATTGAATTATTTGGAGCACACGAATTGTATAGAAAGTGGCAATTCAAATCAAGTCATACTTGGTACTTATTTATTTAACTCTATGCGTTTAAAACTAAATCAAAGCTTCATTTTTGTGCTGTTAAAACAAAGAGGAATAATTAGAATGTGATCAAATATTCTATTAAATACTCTTGCACAACTTTATTATACACTTTTCCCATTTTTAGTGGATTTAAGAACTCTACACAAAGTTCAATTTGAAGTCCAATCTCAACGAAGTATGGAGTTCAAAATATACAAATATATATAATAAAAAAACACACAAAATAAATGTCATATTAATATATGTGTTCAATAGAAAGCTATATTAAAGGTTAAAGCTTAATTAGTTCTTAAATTAAAAAAGTTCACACAGTTAAACAGCTACAAAGCTTGTGGAATAAGTGTTTCCAATATATTCTCATGAAGTATTTGAACTCGTTTTAGGAATTAACATTTAAATTATGATATTTTTAAATTAAATTTTTTTTTAATATATATATATTAATTATTAATTAGAATAATAATAATATTATTAGGTGATAAGCCTGACTAATCCTTTAGAAATCACTTCAACACGTCACCAACAACAGGTAAATCAAAAAGAGCTGACAATTTTTTGGCAAGAATTGCGAAAACTGCAGGAAAAAAGAAGAGAAAAGAAAATTGCATTGATTGGAAATGGAAATGGACACTAAGCTGGGCCGTAAAAGGGCGTGATAATGCGCAATCCAAGCAGCAAATATGGCGTTGTCCTGGAGGACGCCCAGCGCAAATCCCGTCCTGGGCAAATACCGTTTAGAAAGTCAATTTTTTTATGGCCAACCATTGGTAACCGGAACCAGGCAGGCAAAAATCGTCGACTGCAACAGGAAAACCATTTGGAAAATTATGCGCATCATAAAATTTTGCAGAGTTTTTCCGGACAACAAATGGCACAGAAAAATGTTTTCGGTTTCGAAGGAACCATAAAAAAGTGTATCTGTGACAGGATATAAGGCGAAAAAGGAGCTGACGCAAAGAAGAATATGAAGAAGAGGAGAATTTGGAATTGACAAGGTCGTGTCAACCATAAATATTTACATGTCATAAAAATCAAGGTGAGCCCACATCCTTTTTCCGCAATGCATTTTCCATTGAATGCGCACACGGCCGGACCTTGAAAGTTTATGATACACACACACACATTCACACACACACAGGTAGTCGAACTAGGAGCTATAGCAAAGTCAAGACGTTGGCCAAGTCAGTCAACTTGGCTGAAATGCGTTCAGTGTGTGATTTATGACCTGTTACTTACTTCTCCGCAAATGCTTCGCAAGTTTTTCATTTGAATTGTGCCCAGAATTGTCTATCTCTATATCTATCTGTAGCTGCATCTATCTTTAGCTGTGACTGTGCCACATTTTCGGCCAGCTTGTAAATTATGCCTACAGCGTTGACGTTGTCGGCCAAGTCAAGTTGTTTCTGTGGGCGTTCTATGCCAATTTTGGTCTATCTACCTGGCTTTGTGGCAGGTATCAGTGTCAGCACTGTGTTTTGAAGTCTGGGCGTTACAACTGCCCATCTAAACTAGCCTTTA